AGACATCCTCGGCCACTGAAATCGTGGAACCTTTTTCCGGCCGCCCTGCCATCTGGGATATGCACCCTACAGGTATATTCACTCTCTCGGAAAAGTTGATGCGGTGTCGGTGTAGACGCATCGACGCGATACGCAGTCAGGGCATTCTCATCCACCGTAATCCCCACCCCGGTGCATCCGAAACCTGAATTGTCCCATCGACAACAGCGAGCCGCGTTTCGAGCAGATCCGATTCCCACAACTCGTGACACGTAATCGCTGGCAATTCTGCTTGCGATAACACCGCACCGAGATGCACCGAGTATGCCGTTGTGATACCCGTGCCGACCATCTGGAGCCAGTAAGGTTGCGCAAACGAAGCACAGAGCGCGTTTGTCCGCAGGAGCGAGTTCACGCTGCCGCCGACAACGAACCCACCGCAACAGCGCGCATGCAAACACGATTCGTTGAAATGCTCGACAATCCGATTCTGAACAGCCGCTTGTAGCCTCGCCGCACCCTCTACGTCCGTGCCGAGATAGTACGGACTCTCGTATATTGCGACGTTCGGGTGTTCATCTAATTGTTGCAACACGGGGATCGCGTTATCCGCAGTCCGCAGAAACCCGTTGAAATCAATATCGAGCCGATAATCTGCTGGCACGGCATCGCCGACAGCGTTCACCTGCGCGAAGATGTCTCGCCACGGACGCGCTTTCAGTTTCGCAGACGTGTAACCCCGTTTGACCGATTCTTGGACTTCCGAAACCCAGTCTTCTGGCGGCATATCGATGTCCCACCACGAAATAGGACACCTATCACGAACCTTAGGTCCGATGAGTTGGTGGACTGGCACATCTACGGATTTACCGACTGCGTCGAAAAGCGACATCTGGATGCCAAACCCGATGCTGTCGTCGTTCATACATGCAAACGCGTTCTGTCCAACCAACTGTTCAATATTTGCCGATTCATCTGCTAAATTTTCGCCGTATCCGACAACGCCGTTACTGAGTTCGACCCGGTAAACGTGAACCCGTTCCCCGTGTGTCAAGGCGCGGTGCATGTGTCGGCTGACCCGTTCGTGATAGAACGGGACGTTCAACGGAATCACTTCGAGATGTTTGATGCTAAGCATTAGCTCCCTCCCAAATTGATACTGTCGCGAATCAGGATTTCAATCTCGTGTTTCACTTATATTCCCCCAAATTGTAGCACACTTCCAAAATTACGCGGTGAAAATATTGCCAAGGCGGACTCCGTGTAGGAGGAATCTCCGAATTCCGACTTCTCCATATATATTTCCTTGAAGAAAACCGACGCGATTTGCAACGAAAATTGTGAAAATAGGCAATCGCGAGTTCTATTGAGCACTAATAACCCAAAACTGAAAACCGAAAACCGATAACTGATAACTAACAACACAGTTGACACCTCCGCCTTTTGTTGGTATAATATCTTTAATATGTCTGGCATTATAGTAAGCCTATAATTAACGTGAGTTCGATATAAGAGATTGGTTTATTATGTAGGTTTGATTGAACGAAAATGAGACACAACACGCATGCTTTTGCTCCGGAGGAGCGACCTGTCTATAGCAGCCATTCAACTCGATGTTCCCGCTCCGTAGGTGCGGTATGTGGTTTCAGGACACATAGCAAGCCGAAGAAAGTGCGATAACTTGGGCATCGGATTTTCTATAGACATAGCAAGCCGAAGAAAGTGCGGGAACTCAGCCGCCATCAAATCTGCGATAGGTGTGATATATCGTGTCAAACTTCTCTAAGTCCTGAAGTCGAACTGACGTTATAATTACCTATATACATTAGCGTTGGCGAGGCGGGAGGTCCCCAATCCCCTGTGTTCACATATTTTCGGGCTTTACTATAAAACACCGCGACGTTCACAAGCAAGGAGCGAATTATGGCAAGAATCGAACCCTTTTTTATTTCAAATGAACTCTTAGATCAACCTGAAAAACTCCGGGAACAGGCACAGCAGGACGGTTATCTCTTTTTTCCGTGGCTTAATTGATGCCGATTCCATTTACGAACTGCGTCGAAATTTCTTGGAAATCTGCCATCGGCACGGATGGGCACAGGGTGGAGAAGTATTGATGGACGCTATTCGCACGGGGGGTCCCTTCATGGAAGGTGATGACGGCTATTGGCCCGTCTTGGATGAGTTTCAATCCTTGGAAGCGTTCCACGCGTTTGCGCACCATCCCGCAATTTTGGACGTGTGCGACAAACTCTTCGGCGAAAAGACACTTGTGCATCCGCGGAATATTGGAAGAATTATGTTCCCGGAGAACACAAAATACACAACGCCTGCACATCAAGATTTCATCCACATCCGAGGCACAGAGGAAACCTATACCGGATGGATACCGCTTGGACCCTGTCCAGAAGAGCTGGGCGGATTGTCAGTGCTCTCTGGCGCGCATCGAAGGGGTATTTATCCCGTCAAACCAGCACTCGGCGCAGGCGGACGCGGTATTGATACAGCACCTATAGAAGCAGAGGATTTCTACTGGGTCGCCGGCGATTACGAGATTGGCGATGCCCTGTTCTTTCACAGCCACGCCGTTCACAAGGGGATGCCGAATCAGACCTCGGATCGGATACGTCTCTCGGTGGATTATCGCTATCAAGGACACTCCAAGCCCGTCACAGATGGATCGCTTTTACCGCATTTCAATCGGATGGCGTGGGACGAAATTTACAAGGACTGGGCTTCCACGAAATATCAGTATTATTGGAATGCGTTCGATTTGAACAGAGTTTAAAGGAAAAGAGAAGCCAATTGATTAAATTGCAACAACGAAAACCCAATACTGCCGATATTATCTGTTTTGTAGTGGTGTTAATCGGATGGATAGGAATTGCTGTTTTACCTGCCTCCGCCGAAAACTACACTGGAGATTTTTTGACGAACGGTGTTGGCCGCAGAGCTCTCGGATTGGGTGGTGCCTACTGTGGGCATCGCTGACGATGCAACCGCTGCCTATTGGAACCCCGCAGGCATCGCCGGTGTCCCCGATAATTATCAATTCTGTCTGATGCACGCCGCGCGGCGTTCCGGATTAGGTGCATTCAACTATATCAGTGGCACAACACGAGTCCTGCCGAAACTCAACCTCGGACTGTCATGGCTTCGCGCAGGAGTGGACGACATCCCTATCTATCCACTCGTGCCAGCGTTCGATCCCAATATTACGCCAGAGGCACGGCGAAACGTCGCGAAAAACCGTCCCAGGGAATCCGATTTCGTTCCAGCAGGTTACCTAAACGACAGCGAAAACGCCTATATTTTGACGCTTGCCACGCGTTGGGTCGTGAGTCAGTCGTGGTGGGATAATTTCGGAAGGGATTCACTGCCACCAGAGTTTATGTGTGGTATAAATACCAAACTGATTACACAGAGCCTGAACGGCGGAGACCTTGATGCCTATAATTATGGGAGTTGGGGGTACGGCTTTGATGCGGGGTTCCTCGTCCGTTTGCCCGATTTCAATGCCCTTTTCAATGTAGAGGACTTCGGTAGTCTTGCCTTTGGGATCAATCTTCAGGACATCTCAAAAACGACTTTAACGTGGAACACTTTATCTGCACCTAAAGAATCTATTCCGGCGAATTGGAATATCGGAGTCGCGTATACGAACACTCACGTTTTCAACCGAGAGATGATTCTTTCCTATCAGTGGCAACAGCGTTACGGCGGACAAACGCATATCGGTATAGAATATCGTATCAGCCAACCGTTGGCACTCCGTGTCGGTTACCGGGACAACCGCATTACAAGTGGGATCGGCATCCAGGTCCGCCAACTTCGACTCGATTACGCACTCCTCCTCGGCGACCTAATTAGCACGCACTTTCTGAGTCTGTTGTGGCATTTTTAATTTGAAGTATTGCAAGAACAGACAACACAGGATTCTTCTACAAGTTCGGTTTCGACAAGTTCGGTTGATCGCGTAGCAAAATCAGGAGCGGTGCCAAGACCACCGGAATCATCACTAACCCATCGAGCATGATAGGCAAACCGTATTGATCTCCCAAAACACCGACGAATTTATTCAATAATCCACCGACACCCCACGCTGCCCCCATCATAAAACTCGACGCAATGTTTTCATGCCCGCGCAGGATCATCTGTGCTAAGATGATGTTAACTGTAATTGAACTTGAGAGCACCACGTTCCCTAAAAAGAGGAACACAAGAAAGCCCAGACCATCAGAATGCAGTGAGGCATAGAGAAGTGGTGGCGATCCAAGGAGTGAGACTAACAACAGAACGTAGGTGTTTACTCGGGTGATAAGCCAACCACTCGACATGATACCCATGGAACCCGCGAAGATGAAGAGTGCAATCACAAGCGAACGCATCTGGTTCGTATAATTTTGGTCATCCAGATAGATTGATAGAAAGTTTTCCAACCCGACTGCTGTGACGGTTCGGAACGCTGCAATAATAAATAGCACACTGAGCGGTAGAAGGTGTGGACGGGCGACAGTCCAAAAGGGTTCTTGCGGTCTTGGTCCGTCGTTCAACCTTCCTCGGGGAGTAACGGTGAGATCCAGCGACTTCTCGAATTTCAACACTTTCGGCACTAACAACGCTACAAGTACCCCAGGTATCATTTCCCAAACCAAGTATTCCAAGCCGAAACGGTATGGAATGAACATCAGCACCAACGGACCGAGTGCCCGACCGATGTTACCACCTGTGAGAAAAATGGAGGTCCCCATACCTCTACCGCCTCCGGCGAGCGCACCCGCATAGGTCGTTGCTTGTGGGTGGAATGAGGCAATGCCGATGCCGCCTATCGCTAATAACAGATATACGACACGCGGCGAAGGGGCGACCCATAGGAGGCTTAGACCGATCGCAGTGAAACCGACACCAAACGTCAGGAAATGCACTGTCCGTACCCGATCCGACAGCCACCCAAAGAGTATCTGTCCAAGTGAACTAAAGATGCTATAAACGAAGATGAAGTTGCCGGCTAAACTGTTCCGTGTTGCCGCTGAGGTTGCTAACTTTGTCAGTAGAAGGGGTTGCAGGTGCGACAGGAGTGTCGCGTAGGAGTCGAGGACGGTGTGCGATAAAGTCAGAAAATAGAACTGTTTCCGAGAAGCCGCTTTAGAAGGATTTTGAGGGTTTTCCATGAGGCGAAATAGATACCGTATTTCTATAGAAGATTTAGATATGTGTATTGTAAGAATACATCCGTCGAAAAAGCAAATCTTTTTTCTGCTAAACGCGATCACCGTTATCTTTCTGTAGGAGGGATCTCCGAATCCCGACTTCTGATGGCTGATTGCTGATGGCTATTCTTCTGTAGGAGCGAGCTGTGCTCGCGACTCTTGCTGATAACTGACCACTGATAGTTAATCGCTGACAACCGATTGCCATTTCCTCTTGACAATTAACCCTCGTATATACCATAATGCAAATCCTTAATAACGTGAGTTCGGTAAAGATTCTCCACAATGCTAATGTCTTGTGTGCTTTCAGGCACTCTTTAGAGACATAGCACTCCGCTGGAGTGCGAGATATCTATAACCTATTTCTATAGACATACCACGCCTCTGGCGTGAGGACGCAGAACATAAAGGGTCGTATAAATACACCCTATCAAGACGTTTGAAGTTGTAAGGTTGAAAATGGTCTCTATTTCATGCACCACGCCTCTGCGTAGGACGCGAACTAAGTCGTTAAATACACCCTATCAGACGTTGAAGTGGTGAAAAGGTGGTCTCCTGCCGCGAGCATATGTCTATAGAAAAGCGGTTGGCGAAGGATGGCACTCCAGCGGAGTGCTATGTCTATTTATCCTGAAATCTCCATTTATGTTGATAATTCATCATAGGTCGAACTCTCGGTTAAAAATAAATCATCCATAAAATCACACAGCGAGCGCGCCTTTGGACAAGAAGCAAATTCAACGGGTTACCAAAATCGGCTTACCGACGGTCTTAGCAGTCGTTATAGCTTACTTTCTTTTAAAAGAGATTGACATTCAACAGATACCAAAAACCCTGAGCCGATTGTCAATGAAGGCACTCTTAATCGGGTTCGGATGCTATTGCTTGTTAGTCTTAGCGAAAGCCCTCCGATTTCGGGCACTGCTCAACCTCAATAGCGGTGTCCATCAGGTCTTCCCGATCTTGGCGATGCACACCTTTTGGGGCAATATTCTCCCGATGCGGACAGGCGATGTTTCTTATGTCTATCTGATGCAACGCCGTCAAAAGGTAGATGCAACGCAGGGAGTGGCTTCGCTGCTGGTGGCAAGCCTGATTGATTTGTGTTCTACTCATGGGCTTGGTGGTCGCCACGGCGTGGCTACTGCGCACTGCGCTTCGAGACACATTCTCTGGCACAGTCCTCTATCTCATACCGCTTCTGATGGGTGGTGGTTTGGTCGCCGTGGTCATTTTCGTCTACGCTGCCCCGAACGTCTGTATGAGAATCGCAGAACGGTGTGCCGGTCCGCTATTGGCACTGAAAAACGCCCCGTTTCGTGGACGGTCGATAAAGTCTTGGCAGTGCTCCGAGAACTAACGACGTTCCGATCGAATAAGCGGTTTCTTGGAGGTCTGGGTATATTCCGTTCTGTGTCTCGTTATCCGTTTCGGATTTCAATGCTACCTCGTCACCGAGATGGGAGTTGAAATTCCGATGACCGAGATGCTGTTCGCACTCGCATTTACCAACGTTTTTAACCTGTTACCCGTTCAAACCATCGGCAATTTCGGGACAACAGAATTCCCCTTCGTCTGGTTGCTAAACCATTTCGGCACATCTATAGAGACTGCCACTGTTACTGGATTTAGTTTGCACATTCTAATTCTACTTTACTGTTTACCCTTAGGCGCGTCCGGGTTCTTGATGAAACCGAAGGAACAATAAAATAATATGAGAATTATTGATCCGCATGTTCACGTTTGGAAAAACGATCCGCAGTTCCCATGGGCACCGGAGACAACAAGTCCACCCACGGAGGATGCGACAGCAGAGATGCTACTGGAATTGATGGCGGCGAACGATGTAGAAAAAACTGTTCTCGTTCAAGTCATACATTACCGCTGGGATAATAGTTATGCCGCTGACGCAATGAAAAGGTATCCTGATAAATTTATGGGCGTATGCCGAATCAACCCCGAAGATCCGGACGCACCCGATCACCTCAGCCGTTGGACGGAGGAGGACGGTTTCCACGGCGTACGGCTGAGTCCCTCTGTCGGTGAGGCAGGGGACTGGTTTGCCGGACCGTTGATGCCACCTATCTTCCATCGTGCCGAAACCCTCGGTGTCCCGATGCTTATTCTCACAGGAGCCGAGCGATTGGTGGATCTCGTGCCACTCTTGGAGCAGCACCCCGAGCTTGATGTTGTCATAGATCACATGGCAGGCTGTTCGCCGGACGCACCTGAAAAACTCGAATTACTACTGAACCTCGCACGGTTTCCTCGCGTCTACGTCAAAATTAGCCATACATGGTCGATATCGAAAACGGGGTACCCGTGGGCAGATACCTTTGAACAGGTTAAAAAGGTTTATCATGCATTCGGAGGTTCGCGACTTATGTGGGGAACGGATTGGCCCGTCTGTCTCACGCGAGCCGGTTATTCAGAAGCCTTGTCGGTCGTCCGAGATGAGATGGACTTTTTTACACCGGAAGACCGGGAGTGGGTGTTAGGAAAAACCGCACGCCGCCTATGGCAATTCTGAAACCCTAACCCGGTAGGAGCGGTTTCCAACCGCTCCGCGTAGGCGTGT